CTTAAAATGTTGCTGTATGATTGTTTCTTAGTTGACCTCCTGCTTCCACATTAAAAAGCTGGGCAGGAGTTTTCTATCTAAAGAGAATTTGTTTTCCTACCACTCTGAAGGATTTTCTTTTTATAGGCACCAGCATTTTTTAAATATATATTTTCTATGGGCTGGCACCTTCAGGTAGCTTATCCTAAGCCTTGTTTAAAAATCCAGGACTTAAGGTTACCTCAAGGGGTTTCTTTAAATAGATTTCAACTACAGTGTAACTTGAATGTCAAAATTGTAACTTGTAGTCAAGCTGTTGCTTTAGCTCATGGTCAATTCATCACCGTCAAACTCATACTTTATGCAACAACAGGGATGTTAAGCACATGCACAATGACACAATGCATCTTTGTAATTTGCAATTACAGCTCCTTTTTTGTTTGAGAGAAACATTTTCTGAGGGTAGATTGTGGGCTGAAATAGAGATTTAAAGTTAAAGATTGTTAATTTAGCCGGCTTTGTGTGGATCTAGTCTCAGACTATGAAGATGATGCTGACTGTTGATTTAAATCCACCTACTGTTTGTAGTTTAACTCATCTGTACTTGTATTTCTGTACTTTTGTTGTAGTCCTTTGCATTGAATCTTTTATTACTTTTTCTATAATTTCCTATTCGACACACATGAATCTGTGGGATGCAAAAACTCAACTGGGTTTTGTTTCCTCTCACATTCCTGTCGACTTGCACACTGATGAAGCACAGACCCACAGCCCATGGAGCCAGTGGAATTTAACTGGTGATTTTCAATTCCAGTCATTGTTTCCATTATGTCCTGCTGCCACCTGGGACTCCTGTTGTATAACACACACATGTGCACACTCCCCTGATAGGGTCAATCGTCAAAGAATCATCGAATGTAGGGCAAATGTTTCTAAGTGTTGGTTTTTGAAGGGGCACGTTGTGGTTTTTTTGTGTCTTTGAGCATTTTTGTCCCAAGTTTCTGCCCATAGAAAATACTTTCTGGATAATACTTGTGGCTGAAGTAAGAAGTTGAAACATTTTCCGACAGCTGGGAGAAATACTTCCTGCAGATGGGAAGAGTTTAACAGTTTTCACATTACCTCACTTTTAGCAGATAGTACCAGTTCAACATGTTTCCCTACCGTTTCAGCATGACTGAAATGTATGGTAGCTTTACAGAAGCACTCATGAATGTACGTTTGAATATCTTATAAGTGCTTGGATTACTTTTGTTGTGGATATGAAGGAGGGCAGGAGGATGATTGTTATTTTTGCCAGCACATTTAAGACACCTTGCTTTTCAGTCAGCGTAATCTGCCCCTTTAAGCCTCCTGTATGATACAATAACTGTCATAGATTACGAGGCAGCACAAAACGTCACAAAATTACTTCAAATAATTATCTGTTGCCCTAATCATCTCTCTTCCTCGTTTCTGTAGCGCCACCCTTTCATGTCCGTCATTCAGACTCCTTCTCACTTTTCCACACAAACACAACAAACACTCTGTCTGCATCTGACTGTTTGGTCGGCATAGCTACAAAATAAAGCACAGCACATCTGTTTAAGGTGCAGGGTCACTTATTCAGTGTTTATGCAGAGATGGATTAAGGCCTTTCTTATATATACAGTGTGATTTAAAGATGATGTGACTAAGCTTCAAGTGGATTTATAAGATTTGTTTCTCTCTCTTGTGTTTCATTGACAACTGTCTTGAAAGACAAATTAGAGTTCAATGAAATGTAAGACTCAGTTTTTTTATTAATACCATGGAAACGAGTTTACTTCTGAAGTGATACAGGATTGTTGTCCCTTATAGTACAGGTGTCTCTTCATAACATGCTTTATTTTTTGGTACTTTCAACAAGTTTCCTGATAAAGAAAAACAATTTTATTTTTTGCTATTTAAGTGAAAAACATAAAAAATAATGTATTTGAGACTATATTTACTATATTTGGTTTTTATATATTAATTGTAATTGCAAAGGAAGCCAGAAAAACGACTGAAACAACAATGTACTATAAGGTTCATATACACCTTACTAAAAATGCACACAACACCAATAAATAATGTCACCGTTTAATACATGGTAGTTTGCTATAATCCAGGTCAGTTGTATAATTGTTATGTGCATTTGAAATGTTAGTCTCGGAATCGAAAGCACTTGGTCTTGTCTCTATCTCAGACTGAGCGATCTCCAGATTTTAAATCCAGACCGGTCAAGACCACCACTGACAGGCTATCTTTCCACATCATTACTGTGATTAGAAGGAAAGTGCCCCTTTCTTAAAGGGTAAGGGGAAGAAAGAATAACTTTATTTGTTGTTCGATTCCCCGGTTACGTCTGCAACCTTCCTGGTGTTACAGTCTAAGTGAGTGACAAGCCCCCACGCACACAAGATGATTTTTCATTGATATTTATGGTCTTGTCTCGGTCTCGCCCTGCCTTGGTCTTGGTCTTGACCTGGTCTCGATCCCTAAATGTCTTGGTCTTGTCTCGGAGCACTCTGGTCTCGGGTATGTCTTGGTCTCAGTTAGTGTGCTCTTTACTGCAACACTTGCCCGTCATATTTTTACAACAACTTAATCTAGTGACCATCAAATATTTCATTTTGTTCTCTTATCTCGTGTGTTTTCTCCTGTTTGTTTAAACTTTCCTATTCTGCACTTTAACCCTCCAGTGAACGGGGAGCGGCTTTAATGAACGACTTGAGAGTCAATCTGTATGTACAGCTTTTGAGAAAGAGGGCTACAGTATTGAACTTGGCACATGACTCAGCTGATGTTTATTTTATAATGTTGTGATCTTTTGTCTGTTCGTATGTGTATGTGTGGGTTTAGAGGGGGGTATCGATATATTGTACACTATATCCAGCAGATATAAAAGCATTGCTATTTTGTAATATAAAAGAATTATGTGAATAATGAGTGTCTCTGACTCTTTTTGTGTGTAACGCGTGTGTAGGAAATAGGAATGGCTACAATCGAGCCTTGAAATAAATTTGAATCATGTTTTTTCAACTTTGATAAACTGTTTTGTTTACATAGGCTCAAATAAGATTGCAAAGTTGGGAGTGTGACTGAAATCAAAATTACACAGAAAAACATTTTATAGTAAAGCAGAGCTCTGACCACAAGCTGCACACACTGCTGTAATAGTTAAAATAATAATGGAAACCTTTAGAGAAATGGGCCTGTTGTTCTTAAATAAATAAATGAGGCCTTCAATGGAAGTTCTATACTTAAATTTAAACAGACAGAACACTTTCATAGCCATCGATTAGCTAACAGTATGGAGAACAAGGAGCTACCGAAGGAAGGCGCCATTCAACTTTTATCTCAAACCTTTCCTGTATGTTGACATTTTTTTCCTCAAAGCTGGGATAAAGTTTAATTGCAAACAATCTGAATCAATCGTAAATCATTCATACAAATGATTTAACTGTAGTGACCTTTTTGCGGCTAGTTGTAGGGATACATTGTATTATTAACGTTTATATAAATATCAAACTTTTAACTCCTTAGATAATTTTAATTTTAATATTCAATAATCTAAAAGTCACAGTGAAGGTACTGGGAGGGTTGTGTTCTATCCTAGGACTAGGTGATACAACGCCTTGTGACCTGCAATTAACTGAAGGTGATGCGAGTGGGGATGATCCTCGGGGGGGGCTATTTAAAGGTATAAAGGGAGGCAAGAACATCACTGTCTGTCTTACTAACATTTAAACACTAAGTCTTAAGATGAAATATCAAGTCTTTTAACCTAATTTAAATGGCATTTTACAGGAATTTTTATATATATTATAGGATATTTTACAACAGTTTTAATATATTTTATAGGATATTTTACAACAATTTTAATATATTTTATAGGGTATTTTACAACATTTGTAATATATTTTATAGGGTATTTTACAACAATTTTAATATATATTATAGGGTATTTTACAACATTTGTAATATATTTTATAGGGTATTTTACAACAATTTTAAAACTTTTCATGATGTATTTCAAATGAATATAATGGGTATTTTAACAGGAGGATTTCAGGATGTATTTATGATATAGATTTAAGTATGTCTTTTAAACTTTACGACCATGTGCACTCACACACACGAGCATACATACACACACACGCACAAACACAAAAAGGAAAATGAAAAAAATAAATAAAATCAGGATGAGTGGTGATTGTGAACTAGTGACTGATTGTGAACTGATGAATTGTGAATGACTCCCTAATGATGCTTGACGACCTCCTTTCCAAACTCCTTTACCCTCGGTGGCCATCTAAGTGGAAAAGCGGGACTGAAAAGGACTGCTAGTCCTGAGCTGTCCCTACAGGAACCATGATATTCTGATCTGATCTGAACAACATCACTGGGGTCATCAGGTGTTTTCGATGACTGGCCCATAACACCTCCAGAGGGCTCATCGGCAACATCTGGTGTCCCAAGTGTGCCCCCCTCTGCCTAAACAGTGGCGGTTCTAGACCACTTTTACTGAGGGGGCCAAACTGGGACCAGTTGTTTTGTCAGAGGGGTACATTAAATTTGTACATTTATTTGTTTCAGTAACAGAATTAAATACTAGATTGTGAGTCAAATATTGTGTATGTGTTATTGGGGGGGGTTCTTCCTTTTTGAGGGGTGGCCACAGGGGGGTCCAAGCTCGGTGTTACAGGGGCATTGGCCCCTGTTGGCCCCTGCCTAGAACAGCCCATGTGCCTTAACTTTTTTTTTTTTTAAATTCTTGAATTCTAATATTGCTTTGGTTGCATTTAAATACGATTGTGTGATAATACCATGGACCACTACGGAAGCCCGCCTGGTTCTGTGGTCTAAAGTTGTGTCAAAAAAGAAAATCAATAGATAAGCCTTAAAAGACTACACCTGATTTAGGGTCACTGTCCCAATAAACCGGCAACTGCAATGCGTTTCATATCCTGGGAAGGGCAGCAATGTACCCAGTAGCATGAAAACTGTCAAAAGCAGTAGAAGAAGAAAGCTGAGCAGACGAGGGAGATGTAATAAATAAATAATAAATGACGTAAAATGCACCTTTGCGGTATCATGGGTCGCCGTGAAGAGCTCAGTGACTTTCAGAGGGGAACTATTGTAGGTTGTCACATGTGTAAAAAGTCAGTCCGTGAGATTTCGGCTCTCTTACAGCTGCCTCGGTCCACCGTCAGCGCAGTGATACTGAAGTGGAAACGCGGAGGCATAACCACGGCTTTGCCCCGGAGCGGCAGACCGCACAAGCTGAAGGAGGAGGACCGCCAGGTGTTGGAGAAAGTCGCGCTGGAAAACTGTCTGCCCTCGGTTGAAGCTATTGCCACCGAGTTTCAGTCCGCCTCCGGGACCACCGTGAGCCCAAGAACAGTCCGCCGGGAGCTTAGAGAGATGGGCTTCCGCGGCCGAGTGTCCACCTACAATAAGACGAAAGGTGACTTGGGGTTCAATCATGTCAAGAGGTTTAATGTGTCCACATACTGTTTGCACCTGTATAATATTGCACAACATTTCATTTAATTCCGAACAGTGGTAATTCATTTTGACACCTACTGATACCCCAAGCTGAATTTCTTACAAACAAATATACCCTACACAAGCTACTTCACTTTCCTTATGATATTTACAGAATAAAGTAGTCATCCACAGGTGTAGTGACACATCAAAACAACAGGTAGAGACGAAACAACAGAAAGACATGCAGGATATCTAGGATGTGCTCCCATTTAGACCATTTTAGTCCATTTTAGTCAGGGATACAACCAGAAACCTGATGACCTGATTTCATTTTTGGCCATATAAGTAAACTAAAGCCCAACAATGGCTTGCAAAAGTCCTGGCATTCATTCATCAGTTTTTGGTTGATGAAACAGAAAATACGGTTGCCATATTTAGTCACATTATATTTTTAGTAATTGCATTTATGTCATGCAGCATCAAATTGAAAATGTGACTTCAAAGACTTCAAAGAATGTCCAAGCTTTTGTTCAAGCAACATGTTTTTTGTTTTAACAAATGAATTCTGAAGTCTTAAGTTTTCACTTGCATACAGTAGCCTATATAAATATTCAGCTACACATGTGTAATGTCCTATGACATGTCTCTTCAAATTCAAGCTTGCAAGTCACAGGTTGGTTTTTCATTCGCGTCATTCATTCATGTAATCCTAGCGAGTAGGGACTACTGTTTTCTGATTTCAGATTGAGACTATATTTACATGGATGTAGTCTAAGTGATGTCACCCATTGGTTTCTGAAGCTGACTTTTAAAGCCCATCGCTGCCATTCACCATATTGGTAATGGAGTCTTAAATTCAATTTGAATGAACCAGGTTAAGAGCTGGAGCTGAGGCAGGCCTGAAGCCTACTGCCTAACAGCTACAATGTGTGCCCGCCAGCCACGCCTCTTATTATCAATTACTCTTATCCGTCACAAAAATCAAAACGGCACAGTTGTTTTAAAAAAAAAAAAAAAATCACTCCCCATACAGTGCGTGCCCATAATGACTTAGCTATTCAGACCAAAATCATTTTTTGTACAAGGCTGTAAACATGTTAATTTCTGCTCTAAAAACTGTCTTTTTGATATAAGGTGTGTATGGATCTTCAGGGTCTTTTGAAGTCAGCCTCAAGTGGACACTTGAGCAACTGCAGTCTTTGCTCTTCCACATTTGATTCGTATTTCAAAACCAGAGGTTGCCGCTTAGTCAGTCACCAAAATGCCAGGGCAAATATGATGATTTTTAAAAAATTGCATAATGTCAATCATATGTTGTCTCTCTCTCCTCAAAAGTGCATCTGTCTTTTATTTCATATAATAATAAACTAAATATCCCTACATATATCTTAATTACTTGAATTTAGGTTTTTTATGGTGACTGGATCAAGTGGCTGCTGTTCAAAATTGTTCAACTTTGTTTTGTTAGTTTTCAGCTCCGCTCCATAGTTGAGGCTTTAAGTGTCCAAAGTAATTAGACGATCCAATATTTTTTATAATACAACCATAATACAAAACAGATATAAACATGAGATCAAATACACTTACCAAAGTACAACAATACTCTTAGTCTGACCCACAACTACTGCTTCTCGGCAGTGTTACCCTACATTTTGAAAACATGGCTCCTCCCCAAAGTCGTGTAATAACGTTTACAAATCAGGAACAGTCTTTGTGGATATTGGATAATTTATTAACACGCTTTGAGTTAATGACATTTCCCAAACACATTGACATGCAGTGAACTTGGGACTTTGCCTAATTAATAATCCAGCTTTGTTGCTTGATATTTGTAAAAAAAAAAATCCGTCGATGTTGTGAAAAATTAAGATTCCTTTAACCTGGACTCAGTCTTAGTCAGTTTGTGTAAGACTCAGTCTTTTTAGTGTTCTAAGGCTAAATGTTTCTGCTAGTTCACAACATTTATGTTACAATATGTTTGGATCAGCAACCTTTGCACAGTCTTTATTTCAAGCTGAACTATGGAGTCTTATTAGTTGAGGAAATGCTAGCGATTACAATCATGTACTCAAACGAGCTTGTACTTGTAGTGGGAGAAAAAAGCCAGGAGGACATTTTTCGCTCCTTGTTTTCCTTTGAGTGCACTTGGTCTCGCTCCAATACCATGGACACAAATATGCAGCCTCTATTAACTCAGAAGGTTTTCCCAAGGATATTGAAAACTGAGCTGCAGGGATTTTTCTTCAATCAGACAGAAGAGCTAATTATTCAGGTGATGAGATCTGGACCACAGTCTGGGTTAAACAACAATCTAAAGATGTGAGTTTAGGACGGAGCTCAGTGAAGTTCAGTTTCTTCAACGACAACAAATGAGAAATCCATTTCATCATAGAAGTGGTTTTGTGAAAAAAAGGCTTTGTCAAGTCAAAATATGAAAGTTCAACTGTTGACACAAAGTAGGAAGTAAACGTCTATTAGAAATGTGATTGAATCCTGCATGTTTCAGCTGTCCTGTATTGTTTCTGCGATGACCTTTTGAAACTTGTGTGTCACAACACAAGACGGACCATAAATACTTATTACCAATGCCTGTTATCGCCGCTACACCGCCACTGGGTCGCTGTCAGACGAGGGGGTTAACCTCACGCTGCCATGTCTCCCGTGTAAAGGTTTCAGAGGGGTGATATGTTTGATTGTAAAAATGAAGCAGGATGAGATTTTTGTTATAAACACTTGTTACACATGGCCAGTATGAGATCATCAAAGAGTTCAGATGTACTGTGTAGTCCGCAGGGTTTCCTAATCAACTCATTATGAAACTCCTCACATTATTTTGCAGTTTTTTTCTCTCTAGGTTACAAGTTTCAAGAACAAATTTACTGTGTTTTACAAGAAAAACTTTTAGATTTCTGGGTAGAAACATCATAAACACTGGATGAATATGCACATCGAGAGAATAAATTGAGAAAGAAAATAACAGTGCTAAATGCTTTTAAGGCTAAATCCTTATTTTTTATTTTGGTTTACATGATTATTGTGATAGAATGTCTTTTTCTTTTTATGCCAGGGGGGAAAAAGCTGAGAAGACGCAGGCTGCACCAAGCCAAGATGAAGTCAAGGTGGATGTGTCTCGTCTGGACATGCGTGTTGGACATGTAATCTCAGCTCTGCAGCTTCCGGACTCAGACAGTGTTTATGTGCAGCAGGTTGATGTTGGAGAGGCTTCTCATAGGACAGTGGTCAGCTCGCTAGCAAAGCACACACCTCTGGACCAGGTACAGAATTACTCTCATGTGCATGCGGTAAAAAATATTTTAACTGTACAGTCAATTTAACTATACAGGTGTTGATCAACATATCAACAATGACATCTTGGTAGACAAGAATGCACAATGTGTGGTTAAGAGGTCAGTGATTTTAAACATGGCACTGTCACTGAATTAAATCTTTGCAAGACGCCGGATTAATTCCACTAGAACTGCCCTGGGTGGAACTGCTATTGTGAGCCACAAATGTGTAGACATTGGTCAGCCTCAAACCAGCAATGAGGCATGTTGTGTGTAAAATAAAATCAGAACTTAGTTTGTCTGCACGGAGTCCTGACTCAAGGCACACTGAACATCTCCGCACGGAATTAAAGTGCAGCTTGCAAACCAGGCCGCGTAGTCCAAATCAGTGCTTGACCTCAAAAATTCTCTTTTGGCTCAATAAGCACAAAAATCCAGACTTGAAAATCTCATGGAAAGCTTTCCAATAAGATTGGCAACTGCTAAAATCACAGAGGTCAAACTCCTTATTTTAGTGAATATGTTTTCAATCCTTTCTAACCAAGTACTAAGTGACAAGCTGCTGTGGTTAGTGTTAATTTGTGCCGTAACATCAAGACTCCCTGACCAAACGTCAGTTTTGTTTTCGACTCTACAGTCCGGGAAAAGCCTTTTCCTGTTTGTGTACCTCTGTACCTCTAATGCAGATGCAGAATCGCTTGGTAGTCCTGCTGTGTAACCTGAAGCCAGCAAAAATTAAAGGAGTGCTGTCCCAGGCTCTAATCATATGTGCAAGCTCACCTGACAAAGTGGAGATCCTCGATCCTCCAAGTGGAGCTGTGCCAGGGGACAGAGTCATTTTCCAGGACTTTCCAGGTATTCTTACCTAGTCACTGTTTCTGTAAGTAAAGATAAATCATTGCCACTATTAAGCCATTATTTCTAGATACGAGACAATACGATTATCATCATAGTATTAGCAATTGACTTGTAGATGACTGGCAGAGTGGTGCCTTCCCCAAAAAACATAAAATGTGTTTTTGTTTTAGAAAAAAAACCCAAATGTTTTCAGCCATCTGTTGATACTTCAAAGCTTAGCGAGGTCTTTCCCTGTTTGAACATGTGCACAAAGCCTGGTCCTTGAAAACTCTTCTTTTTTTTTGTCGACTTAAACAAGCACGAGCCAGGCTTTTTAGCCTAACCTGATCGATTCCCTGTGGCTGAACAGGAGAAAAACCCTGCAGCCACTTTCAGTAATCTTCCAGAAAGCCCGGAGGCTTTTCTGGTCTGAGACTTTTTATTCAAGGACGAAATGTATATTATGTCACGCCAGTACCCATAAATCCTGCATTAGCGGTGGATGAGTGGAGAACAAAGGAAGTTCTTCTAGTGTATCAATCTGATTTGTTGATTGCAGGTGAAGCAGACAAAGAGCTGAACCCAAAACAGGAGGTGTGGGAGCAGGTTCAGACAGACTTGCGTACAGACGGCCAGTGTATTGCAAGATACAAGGGAGCTGCTTTTGAGGTCATCGGCAAGGGAGTGTGTAAAGCCCAAACCATGAGCAACTCTGAAATCAAGTGAACTCCCTGAGCTGCCAGAGCTAACTCAGAGCAAGTCCCTACAGCAAGCCAGGATCCAAAATGTTGTGAAAAGCCTCCTCAGAAGAGTGGACGCTGCATAGAAAGACCAGCTGTTTTGGAAAGACATGACTAACAATGGCATGGGTGTCATGTTTGACTGGTCACAAACTTTAGTATTGTAAGCCAGGCAAAGTGTTGCCCTCTGTTGGACATGAAAATCTCATATATATATGTATTGTTTTTATCGACGTAGTTTCTTCTTTTGTCCAGATGAGGGCACTGCAGTAAACATGATCATGTACAATATTAGTGTGATGCAGCACATGCAGCACACAGTCATAATCAACACATTGAAAAAGAAAATAGAACTTCCTCCAAGAATCTTTTTTGGTGTTGGAATATTTGACAAAATATAAGTGTTTTCCCATGATGCCGCAGTGCCGTGGTCATTTCCACTGAACTGTGGATGAAACTCGGCAGCAAAAGCCCCTTTGAAATGATAACAGTTGAACTACTGTCTTTTAAGATTGGAACTAAGAAGGGAAATTACCTTTAAACATTTTTTTTATATATGACGTGATGTATAGATGCATGTGTAATAATAATAATACATGTGCTCACTGAGCTCCTTCAGTTTAAGTCTCATTATAACAAGTGGGATTGCAACAGTGTGAGATTTCATAATAATCATCTTAGAAAAAAATCATGCTATTATGAAATACAGTATTACAGGGTTGTTTTTATTATTACAAGTTATACTGACCCTTACAGTCATTAAACCCTGAATGGTCTGGTTGAACACAATAATGATTTTACTTGTAAAATATCCTAATATGGATGAATAAAGTTTTTTTTACACTAACATTGGAGAATTCAATAACCACATGTCATGAGAATCCTCTGTTAAAACACAGTCAAACTAGTTTGCCACTGCAAAAGTGATGGACATGGCTCAGTCTTTTTTTTATCCTGCTGATTATTTTTAGTGTGAGAGGTGTCTTACTTTAAACAGTATGATGTCTGAGATGTATTTTTTTTTATCCCAAAATGCTGCTTTTGTTCATTTGAGGTTCACCAAGAGTCCAAATAAATGAAGTACAGACCGTTCCAAACATCAACTCAAATGTTAATTTGCTGTTTCATCAAAATGATGATTTGTATCCTTCCTGTCTATGGAGAGTGTTACTTTGCTTTATAGATACTGTAACAGATTAACCTTATCTTTAATATGGCCCACTTCATGTTAGTATCTCAGCCTTTCACCATTGTTGCTTATCAGCATAATGTTTCATTTGAAGGACTGAAGTAAACCCAAAAGTCTTTGTTTTATGTCATGCTGTTTTTGTGTTCTAGCAGTCTGAATCAAGTTCATAAAAATGACCTAAAACACAAACATGTAAACGTTCTTCTTCCCTTATTTTGCAGGAAGAACTGAAAACGGCATGTAAAAAATGAGGATGTGATTCAGGAACTAAGATGTGGAACAGATTGAGCCATGGTATGAGGATTATAAACTTTGAATGAGAAAAAAATCATTTCTGTGAGTTATGGTTTGTACAACGTTTTGGAGCGTAGGTTAATTTTAAACAGCTTTGTTTGATATATTTGAATTTTAATACACTCTTTTAGATGTGCTCGATGTTCAACATAATTTGCTGTTTCATTTACATAATCACTCAGTTAGAAAAAATAAATAACAATCCCACAGATATGATGAACATTTGAAGTGTTTGGTTTCAGCGCTTGATTCAGCTTGAAAACCCTGTTAACCGTATTATAAGCTATAAATCATACTTGGTGGATTCAACAAGCAAAGTCAAGTTTGATAAGTGTCCTTTGGGTCATTGTGCATTCTCTTGCAGACACGAGTGTTAGGGGAATAGGTTTCTGACAATTCTAATGAGGTAATGAAAGTTGCTTCTGTAAAAACCCCACACCAAAAAAAAAACAGACAAAGGTGTTTCTCATCTCCTGCCCCAGCATATGTTGACTTTCACTACAGGCTGACCTCAATAGAACCGCTTTAATTTGAAAAGGTTGCCAAGTGTTGATATTATGTGTCTTATCAGCCCCTAACCCGCCTACAGTACTCATGTTCAAAACCCCACAGGAAACCACCCAGGAGTGAGTGCAGGTACTGTAGAGGTCCTACACTCGTTTCTGTTCCTGCATCTGCAACAACAACTCATGCGTGGAGGAGTGAGTCCTGCGAGTGTGTAGCGACTCGGTGCAGTTCACCGGAGGGGAAAGTTTGTAAACAACCACCCAAAGCCGAGTTTCAGCTGAGTCAAATCAAACTGAATAAAGTGCTGCTCCCCCTCATCCCACATCCTGTTTTTGAAAAATGAAAAGAAAAGTGCAGGAAACCCAACAAAACCCTCCTTCACATCTTTGACATAAGCGTATTGTTTGTGTGCTACTTAAAAGCCAAACAGGTGTATTACTTCCTTTGCATTAGTCTTTAATGACAGACACTATTCATAGGCATTATTTAAGATAATATAAGATCATAGGCCAATAATTCTACTACCTAAGTGTTACAACAAAAGTGTCTTGAAGACCACATGTGTTCTATTTGTCAAATACTTCAAAACAAACTAACAAAAGTGGATTTGAGATGTTTGCTTCATGAATGAAATAATATTATTGACTTGATTAATTCGTCTAATCTGTGAATAAATAACTGAATGAAAACAAACAGGAAATACAACTAAGCATATATGAAAGAATCATATGAAAGTGTAAATTGCATTATATAATACATTCTCAGTGATGAGCCTCACTGTCAGAAATGACCTAATGCACCACAATTATACTATTTAAAGGCAGTGGCAGAGTCAGGCCGCCTAATAAAAGCGGACACAATCCATCTGTACAAAGACACGATGTGTTTATCAGGAAGCAGTTCAAAACTCTGATTAAGATAAGAGACACTTTTCATGGCACACATTGGTGCACTGCATCACCTTTTCTCCTTGGCCACCCTGAAGGTACACTTTATAATGTTTCCTGCACACATGCTAGAGTTTAATGCAGTTTATTTTACTGCTAGCGTGTCCCAAGTGGGCACTTTTGATGCATTTTTTTTTTTTTTTTTTACAAATATCTGCTCCAAAATGTAAAGGGATACCTAGAGTTTAAACAGTATCTGAAGGGAAACCATTGGCCAACTCCATTTTTGAGTTTGAACAGAATTTAGAGGAGTTCATCAGAAGTGGAGAAATGCTTACCAGTGTTTACAGCTGATCTCCAGCTTGAGTTCTGGGTGTTTTTGTTTGTCTCTGATGAAAGGGGTCCACAGCTTAGTTTTACCCAAGGGCCATATAACAGGTTATCCTGGAACCCTGGAGTTATTTAGAACCCGTCAATATAAACAAAGGAAATGTTGCATCTCAAGAGTTTCAAGCTTCTTTGTCTACAGACTTAGTTGCTTACAGTTCCACGATGTGAGTGAGATTATCAGTATCTAGTGATGATGTGCAGGCAAACAGCAAAGTCCATTTGTTTTCGTGAACAAAAATTGATCCTATTGTAGTTGGCAGTCTAATCTAACCCAAATTAAAGATAAGATAGGATCATCTGTATTAAGCCCCAATTGATGGAAATTTACATGTTACAACAACTCGTAGCAATAATGGTATAAATAAATAAAATAACAAGAGGAAGATAGAAATACTACTAAAACAAAAACAAATAAAGATACATTGTTTTATATCTACCATTGTTTGTTAAAAATATATACAATCTATAACAAAAGTACTGATGAATATTGCACAGAGAGTGATTGAACCATGGTTTATATATGTTTTTCATTAATTAATTATCTGCCCACGTGTCTCAACACCTCCTGCACGCTGACGTCGCGCGGTGGTCAGTCCGTGACGCGCTCGCTGTATTTCACGTGCGGCAGCAGCGGCGGCGCTACAGCGCAGGAGAAGGAGGCGGAGAGGAGGAGTAGGCTACAGGACAGACGCGTTTTTGTCGGGTTTAACTGTTGAAATAGACTCGCACTGCCTACTTGTTAGTGCGAACATTGCAGCCGAGAGAGCACACGGACCAGTGACTGTTCATGTTGATCAGCTGTTACGCTGTTTCTCCGCTAAACAGCGACGCAAACCGTGTTTCGGTCGGGGATCGCACCTGCCCACGGGGCATGAACAACAAAGCCTGATCCAGCACTGCGCTGTGCGGCAACTAACCGAGCCAGGCTACCAACGAAAACGTCGAAGAAATTAATTTATATTTAAAACGAGCCCGTGCCGCACGCAGGAGACAGGTGCTGTAAAGGGCAGGTCTGTGTGCACGCTGCTGCTGGACCTCCATATTGCAGGCCGATCCGAGTCCAATCGTGCCCTGCAGCTTCTTTTTATTTTTTTTAATTAACACTTGCATGTGCGTCTTACTCTCGCTCGGATATATCCGATATTGTTTTTAGGGTCGTGTGGGAAGAGAACAGGCCTCCATCTGGGCTTTTAATAATTGAATAACCCCTCCTGGTCGGAGCAGTTTGATGGTCGCCGTCACTGTCCCGTGTGTTCAATGTTCCCTTAAAACCAGGAGCAATATGTGGGTCAGTCCCGAAGATGTGTTACTGGCAGGCGCGTTGTGGATCACCGAGAGAGCGAATCCATATTTCATCCTTCAGAAACGGAAGGGCCATGGGGACGGAGGCGGAGGACTGGCGGGTGAGTTCTATTTTTAAGCTGTTCAGTAGGAAAATGTCGATGTGCATGTATCATTTAAAATGTACAGGATTAATGGTTGTGGAAATGTAACAGCATATTAAGATGTCAGCTGGGGATTGTGTGTTGTTGTTGGGACACCAGAAAACACATGGACTGATGGGTGATGATCACATGACCTATCAGCTGCCACAGGTGGCCTTTCACCTCAATGTGCCTGTTATGAAAGATCACCTATAGTGTCTTTTAGCTTCTTATTGGTTTGTCCACTCTCTTGTACTCTGATTTCAAGGGACCTTTGACCAAGGCTGATGAAATCAAACAAAACCTCGAAGAGACAAAGTCCAACACAAATTACCTTTTTGATCTTGCTGCATCTCTTGTGCAGCTGCTAATGGCCGAGGAGTCTTAACAACAGTGCATCTGTTTGACCACCAACCAGAGAGACACGCTCTGTTTGCTTGCTCATGCTGAATCATTCTCCTTTTCCCTCTCTCTCTTCTCTCTTACACACACACACACACACACACACACACACACACACACACACACACACACACACACACACACACACACACTGCTCCCTTTTGCTTATTCTATCCAAAATGGGTCAAGCAGCAGCAGCAGCAGCAGCAGAAGGATGATGAAGAGGAGGAGGAGAAGGGGGACAGGTTATGGAGATGACTGTCTGAGGTTAACAGTTAACAGCATCCGTCCTCTTTTCTGTCAGTGTTTTGAGATTTGGTTTCGTAGCTTGACCTGGATCTAGATACAGCTGGCAGCAGTCAGAAAGTGTCAGGCGTTAGAGATGAAGTGCATTTTAACAGCTCTGAGGCAATGAAGATCATTATTTTCTAGAAGAAACCTTTAATAGATGGACATTTGAAGGATCCTTACTTTGAGTTGAACACTATGATGTGTATGAGGAAAAAAATCTATGACACTGTACCATTTCTCCCCCTTGTAACCATGTTGAAATACTTGGACTAATAAAAGAATTAAGCCTTTTGCAATGTCCATATTGGTTTCATCAAGACCACAATGGCACATTTTTCATGTTCAGGTAATAAGATCACTTATCACGTGTGTTGATGTTGCATGCTGCAATATTTCAAAACAGATTTACAATTCATGAAATCTTCTTAAGCCATTTGACACACTGAACCCGGGGCTTTGGTGGTTTCATAGTGTTGCCCTTGATATCTGAAGTGAAAGTGGTTTCCATCTCGCTGATGGTCTGTGGTGTCGATCAGCTCAGTTTCTGCTCCCTGATGAGGATTTCTCACTCGGTGTCGGTCAGTGTCGCCACTCTTGGCGCCTGCAGACTGACAACTGTCATGACATTACAATGATGAAGTGCAATGTGTCCCGCCTTGTTTTCACCTGAGACCCCATAACACCGTTTGTTCTGTGATTATGAGGTGTTTTTTTTATTTTATTGTTAGCATTTTGGCCGTTATTGCATCTTGAAAGCGTCAGAGAAACAGGAGGTAATTGGCAGCGAAATGGGATGACATGCAGCAAGGCGCTGAGGGCGGAAACTGAACCTTGGTGCAGATGCAAGGACTAAGGGGTGCACGCTCTACCAGGTGAGCTGCCATGTTTCTTCTTTGGGTTTTGGAAGATTTTTTTTTTTTTGCCTTTCACCAGTGTCAGAAATAACAGTGGAAGAGAGACAGAATATGAGAGAGGGTAGAGAGAGAGGTAGACATGCATCAAAGGGTCGAGGTCTGGAGTTAAGCCCGTGGCTGATACGTCGAGGACTGTAGCCTCTGGGTGCTTGCTCTCCCAACTGATCTAAACAAAGCCCTCCCCCTTGAAAAAAGATATACAAAGAAAACAAAGTTGAAGGAAAAATCATACACCATACCTCATAATCCAGGTTATTACATTAATTTGCATTTAAGGCATTTCATTGCCAATATTATTGTAACCCAGAGATGTTAGAGGGACACAGCACATGAAATCTTGTCTCAAGATCTCTCTTGTATCTTATTTTTACTCATCCTGGTTTCAGACTTGACTGTACATCCAGATGTTAAAAACTGGTTTCAAATTCAGAGTATGATATCATATTTGTGATTAGATCTTCGTTGGCATGAATAATTTAAGATAAGTACCACAGCCGTCTCCTACTGTGGCTACATAAAGTGTGCTCAGTGCTGCCAGGCGATGATGTCATCATTATTATGTAAATGCTGAGATTGCTGACTAGCACTGTGTGCCAGTTGGCGCCCTGCGCCCAGCGACCCTGGCATTGTCCACCAGCTCTTCCTCCAAGAAGAGCAGAAACCATGAACAGAGCCAGTATAGAGGATTTTACTGAGCCAGGCCCATATCGGCAGATCTGACCTCACAGGACCTGAGCTCTATTACCAGAGTGGAGGAAGTTTGGAGGAGAGAAAAAGGCAAATGTGTGTTTTCTTTGCATGACTAAACCTTAACTTTCTGATTCTCATACAGACTTCAGGTTAATTTAACATTGTGATCAGTTTGTGCAGATCCTTGAAAGAACTTGTTTTGGGGGTTTTGAACATTAAAGTTACTGGACTGTTGGGGTGTCCAACAAAGCTTCTCTAAAAACCTCTGAGTCTGATGAGTCAAAAAGATAACTCTGGCTCTCAAAATGCCATCAGTTCTTTATCGGTGTGATATTTATTCTATTTCAACCACTGTAAAGGATTTAACTTTTCTTTTTTTCCCCCCCTCAACTATAAATCCATTGTTGCCCTTTAATGCTCAAAAGCTTGTGGGATAAAATAAATCCTATGTACAAGTGTTGCATTATTGGTGTTTGTACCAGTCAAGAATACAATGCCTTTAAAGAATAAAAGCTGTGTTTGAAATGAAGTCTCAAATGTTTTACATCTG